TGGCACTCGTTTAGATTCTTGCACTTCTACCAGGAAGGTCTTTCAGGGCGTGACAAGCTTTTTGAAAACGGTCTTTTGCATGATATAGGGGCAGATGCGGGAACCACAGAACCATGTTCAATTTTTCCTGAACGGCCCTCTGAATACCAGAAAAGGAGGTCCCTAGTTCGATTCCTCGTGGTAACAAATTTTTGCATTTCGAGTTGACGTGCCAAAATTCGCGCAAAATGGAGTTAGAACCAACCAGAACAATCAGAACTCCATTTTGCGCGAATTTTGGAACGTCAACTCGAAATGCAAAAATTTGTCACCAAGAGGAATCGAACTAGGGACCCCTTTTCTGGTATTCAGAGGGCCGTTCAGGAAAAATTAAACATGGTTCTGTGGTTCCCGCATCTGCCCCTATATCATGCAAAAGACCGTTTTCAAAAAGCTCGTCACGCCCTGAAAGACCTTCCTGGTAAGAGCGCGAATCGGAGGAAATCGTATGGAAACTACCCGAGCATTGGTGCCTGTATGGGCAAGGTAGTTACATATCTGTTAATACTGCAAAATTTTCGCCCGCAATCCTGTCAGTATCCTATAATGGTAGGAAACTGGAAAAATGGAACAAAAATTAGCGTGACGATTTGGAATATCGAGGAGAATTCAATATGCCCCACCTTCTTTTGCAGCCTCTTTGAGAAACTCAACACCATCCATCGTAATCACCCGCTGCAAATCGTCCAGCACTAGATCAAACCATTTCTGAGCAATCTCAACCATTTTTGGTTCTATCTCTAACACAGTAATATTCATCTGAAAGAAAAAATGAATGAAAGCTTAGCGATGATACGGGGCAATATGCTAATTGAATCCATATCATGTTTTCATAAAAAATTACAATTTGCAGAAAGTCGCCTTATCTATGCCTTGGATTGTCTGTTTGATCTCAGGAAATTACTGAATTCAGGGTCACGGTGGAAGATCCTTGGGCAGGCCAGAGGTGGCGATAGGTCGCCGGTACGCGAGTGTGGTTCCGGCGCATTGCGCGCTTGAGTTCTGTCGCGCTACTCGACCACGTTCGCGCGGCATGCACCAGCCCTAGAGGCACGCCCCGTCTCGGTTCCGCCTTCAAGCGCAGGCTACTTAGGCGAGTCCGCTTCTGCCGATTCGGCGCACTTCGCTTCCTCACCCCCCCCCCCCAGCAAGATCGTTGGATTCCTGAGAACACGCCGGTTTCTCCCGGCATAGCCTACGTTTCCCGGCGGCATCGTTTGCGTTTCTGGACTCAGGAAGGGGGGGTGCGGATGACGGTGTAACTAGAACCGCAATAATAACAGACCGGCGCTGATAATTAACTGCCGCGCCTTAACAAAAACACCAATGCTGGCGCCCTCACCCCCCCCCTACACCGAGCTCCTAATACAACAATTGATCTTCCTCATTATGGATTACTTTTCCGTATCGGGTGGCAGTAAGGCACGAAGATGTCCTACTCCCGTCTTACTGCTAGCCACTAGCACGTTGCAGCACGGTCGGCCATGCTGCTCCCCTGATCACGAGCGCTGGTTGGCTGATGGACAACGGACAACTGGGACGATGACACGATGGCTTGGCATCTCCAAGCCCGGCAGATAGTGACGGAGTAGGACTCTTCGTGAATTACTGCCAATAGAGAAAAGTAACCAAATGAGGAAGATGTTGTATAGGAGCTCGGTGTAGGGGGGGGGGGAGGGCGCCAGCTGGTGTTTGATAAGGCGCAGTTATTATCACGGCGCGCTGTTATTATTGCGGGGTTCTAGCGGGTTGTTGCACTCAATCCCCCCTTCCCCTTCCCTGGGTTAGGAACCCGTGATGCCCCGGGGAGCGGAGGCCATGCTGGGAGGGAAACCAGCGTGGTCCCCGGGAAGGACCCGTAGGATGACGTGTGCCTGGGAAAGGCCGCGAGGGCCCCGAACCACCTCGATGCGTCGTGTTGGAGGGTTAGGAGGGCGACCGCTCCCGAACCACGACAGGTGACGTATAGCGAGAACTGTGGATTCTGCGTGTGCGAGTGACGAATGCAGGGAAGAAGAAGGATTACTCTCGATAAGTACCTCACCTTGGGATACGTGCTATGAAGATAGGTGTTCAGATAACCTGCTCCCAAACCGATGATTAGAACATTGGATTTTGCTTCCCGATCCATTTCGATCGCACCGCTGACGAACATTTCTTCTGAAGAGGCAGTGATACATATCCTTTGTCTCCGACGGCCAGGTGCGCGTCGAGTGCAGACCGCACAACACAAGTGACGACGGCCTCCAAGTAAATCTGATAACTAGTGGTTCATAGTAATAGCGATGGTTGGTAATGGTAGTTGCAATTAGTGACATTAATAGAATACAACTGCAACCGGCTAATCATTTCATTGGCAGGGAAACATTACATTTTGTGGAAGCTGTCGTCACTTGCTGTGTGGTCTGCACTCGACACGCACCAGACCGCCGGAGACAGAGCGTAAACACCCGCTGTGCCACGGATGATACGATGTGATCCCAGATGATTGAAAACCAAACTGTTAGTTTCAGGCAAAGTACAGGTATACTTACCAATCATCAGCGGAGTGTAACAGCGGGGGTTCAACGAGGTCTTATCCAATTCCCACTTGGCTGTGTCAAGATAATTTTCGTTAAGCACTAGAAATACCACGAAGTAGAGTTTGAAAAAAAGGAATCAAAGCGCTATTATCTCCATGCAGTCGCTATCACTTTCAGTATAACCCGCTTATATCAATGAGAAATCTCAAAGCAACCCTCAGCAAATTCAAAACCCCTCACCAAGCCTTTTACTGCAATCGAAAACTGACCTTTAGGAATTTTCAAGTTCATTGTTGTGATTTCTTTATGATCATAATAGACACTACGATAGAAATAAAACCTGAAAACGTTCAAAGTTTGTCTTCCTACTAGAAGGGTTAGGTACAAGTTAGGGTGAATTGAACCCACAGGTCACGGAAACAGCATAAAACCTGAGTCAGTGTGAACACTAACACGTTGACGACATCGCTGCACACATATAGTAGCGCTCAAAAGTATTCGGCAAAATGCCTATTAGCTTCGGCCATAGCTATTCTTTCGACCTGACATCAAAATCTGTTTCATTTTTTGAACGTTCTAGAGCAACGGTTGCTCAATTTTAAGCAAGGGTGGCCAGCAAGTTTTGCATGATGTAGTGGGATGTGCCTGGATCACAGAACTGTAGTCCATTTTCGCTAAATGGCTCTCTGAATGCCAAAAAAGGAGTGAGCAAATGAGGTCCTTGGTTCGATTCTCCGCGGCGACAAATTTTTTGCATTGTGATTTGACGCAACAAATTTGGCACCAAAGACGTCAACACCACACACGGAATTTTGAAATGTAATATCATTATGAGGCTTGCAAGGATCCTTAAAAAAGGCGTTAACCGCAAAACTGCGTGGAGAGAAGTCGTGCAGCACAAGACACGAGCATCCGACTCCGTCGAAGCAGCGTTCATGAGGAGCCCAAAAATGTACATGTCGAGGCTGAAATGAACGGTCGTAGGGCGGAATCAGGACACCCTGCTGGATACCTTGAATTCTAACGTTACCAAGAAAATCAGTCTTGCCCAACTGTCGAAAAATCGCTTCAAGATAATACTAACACTCCTGTAGCACGTCAGGCTCACGGCGAACTTCTCGGAACAATGAATGCTTCGGTAGATCCTCATCAAGAATGAAAAGATGTTACAGAATAGCAGACACCCAAGCTGATGACGGTCGGGAGAGGGGGCACCCGCAATGCCGTAGTTTTCTGCTAGTTCTCCACACGGAGCTTGCCCCCAAGCGACTGGAAATACTTGAAGAGTTACTTGTGTCTAGTGGAAAATTTTCGAAGTTAGGTCAAAGATGCGATTTTCCTCGAAACTCCGGCTACAGAGGTAAATCAGTGTGCTGATTAAGAATATGGCATTGTTTTTTGGAGCCGCCGCTATCTGGCGCCATTTCGACGTTACAACTTTGTTTGCCTGCTTTCGGTGGAAACTCAATCGGGGATTATAACGTACCTAGACATGAAATAATACATCTATTATGGCGTTTATGCAGCTTGGAGCAAGATCGAGATCTGGAAGTGCCAACAAGAAACGCAAAAAATTGCGCATCTCGAGGATCCGAACCAGCAACCCCGTCCAACTGTGCCAATTGAAGTCCATATCGCTATCCACTACACCACCGACGCATCCGAATGCTGAGTAGCCAAATGCACCCATGAAACTTCCACACGCTCTTCACTACATAGCATGTCATCACTACGACAACTTCCCAATTTTGGCCAAACTTCGCGTTGTTTTCGATACAAAGCTTGCGAGAACCTTCGCCATTGAACAAACCACGGTGAACGCGCAGAAATTGCACTATCTGACAAAATTATTTTCACTCCTGCATTCAGAGAGCCATTTAGCGGAAATGGTTTACAGTTCTATGATCCACGCACATACCTCTACATCGTGCAAAAAACCGTTTTGGGTACACCTGAAAGACCCTCCCTCGTAAGAGCTATTATTTGAACGAGTGATTCTGGCAAAACCTTGGAAAGAACATCTTCTTGTTCACAACATTTATTTTTTTATGCAAAAAGTTATTTGTTGAGGAAGATTTGACCCTCGCACGTACGGAGAATTTCATATTCGGAAAAGCCAAGTTTCATTATGCAGTATAAGGTCAATATTTCAAAGAAAGTACGATTCGAACAGGAATGTTCTATTCCTTTTGTAGGTGATCTTTGAGTCAATTTTCCGCCGCATCGTTTTTGTTTTGAAGCATCCTTGAACTGCATTGAAAACGCATTTGTTCACTTTCTCCCTCCCATATTCAGAGTTCTTATCAAGCACTAGATCGCTTCTGTATTATTATCTTTTACTTCTTCAGATATTGTTCAATATTCCTTATAGCATTTCTTTACACATTAGGAAATGACGGAAAAACTCTCGAGATTGTTACCGACTACAATCCTCTTTCGCATCAAGATTTGCGTTGTGAGGGATTGTTGCTAGAATAATAGTTTCTAAATTTTATTTTGATCACTAACCTGTGCTTCCGGCGCTATCTGTTCGTTGCGACCCCCAAAACACGCCTCGACAGGAAAGACAGATGCATATGTCCGCACGCCAACGCGCTAGCAACAATCGCTCGACTGTCAAGCGGCTGTTAGAAAGTGGTTGGACGCCGTGTCGTCAACGTGGTAAAGCACACTGCTCTAATCGTAAGCATGCCCTGGGCTTGGTCTGCTGCGCATTGGACCCGCACGCGGCGGGTGTTGAGTACTCACCCTTAGGTTCTGATGTCGGGACCTGAAGAGCAGAAATACTTATTCTAGTGGCTTAACACGTTGACGGCGCGGTAACGCATCCCACTGCGCACCTCGTATTGTGACGCGGTAACGCGTCCCACCCAAGACGTCCCTTTTTCTTGCGCTTGCGCGACTTATTCCTGAGGTCTTTGTAGGTTCTGTAGGCCTTCCATTATCATACTTATGGGCACGCTCCGGGATTAGGCGCGCTCGCCTGTTCCATCCCGGGGGTAGTAGACAGGCGGACAAGCGTTGATGTCGCGCCCTTTTTGCCGCTTGAAAGTGCGCGACAAAGGCGCAAGGAGCTCGTCCGACCCGCAACTCACACCTTCGTCCGCAAGCCCCACCCTCCGCTGTCGGTTGCCACGTGGCGCTGCTTGAAAAGCGCGGGCGCATTTGAGGCAGCGGTCCCATTGCGACCCAATGTCATTGGCACTGGAGCAACTAGAGTTAGGTTCGTGAAACTCGTCCAACGCGCCCCTTCTCTATCCCAAGGTGAAATGCGGCTGAAATAGAGGAGCTTTCTGTGCTTCATCACATCTAAGTTGCGTATTTACAGCTCAAAATCCATGGATTTGGTATGCGATGGCGGCGCGCGCAAAATCGCTCTGGCACGCGGTGCAAAAACCCAAAACGCGCGATGTCGTCAACGAGTTAAGAATGAAATTTCTCTTCATGCAATTTCTAGCCGCTCGGTCCGGGGCTATCAAATTGTAACAAGCCACCTAGCCGAGCGTATGTGACTGGGGCATTTGGGAAGAATTGGCCGAAAATGTGTATAGAATGAGCAATTACGAACCTGCCGTTGTCGAGCGGCCGAATATTATCGAGTACTTGAACACATGCACTTTCGGTTTGTAAACATATTGAATCTTGGCTGTAAACAATTATCAATTTATAGGGTCAAAGAAAGAATCGAGAGCTACGCATATTTATTTTGTTATAGGAGGCCGTAATCTGCAATATTCCAGGAAGTCTCTTTTATAATTCTTTTTGCACATAATTCATGAGCAGCAACTCAATCAAGCGAAAATCGCGCAATCTACTTTAGCGAACCGTATTCCCAATCATAATTTTTTGCCAGGGGACGAAGTTCCGGCTCTGGCCACTTAAAGCAACAGTGCGCGACCATTCATCATTGAGCAGTACCTCACTGAATAAACCACAAGGCGCAGAAAGGCTCAGTGCCGTGTGTTGTCTCCAGCTACCGCTGAAGGTGGGACATCGCCTAAGATCAGTACCTGATAAGAGAAATAAGTGGGTGCAATATCCACGAGCAGTAGACTTTACTCAAGTAGAATTTGGAGCGGATGCTGAGCTTATTGCACAATTTATACAATTTAGTCCTATCCTATAGTTCCACATCAAGTGAGTTCCACATCTCAACATCAAGTGTACTCAACAGGAGGCCAGTCGCGCAGCGAGGCGGCAGAGACCAAGACGCGTCAGCGGACGAGTCGCAGCACCTGCTGTGGGACATACTACAGTACATTCTATTTAAGTGACCTGAAATCACTGCGTACGCGTCGAAACCCGCCAGACCCATTCGCGCCTTTGCCTTTTCGCCCCCGATGGGCCTCTTGTCGGGTACCCTAGAATCAAGACAGCGGACCAAATTCATGTGATAACCTTACTCGACTATGCGTGCAGGGATCCGATCTGAACCAGAAGAGGAGAAAAGCGAAAAGAAATCGTCAATAATCACAATCAATCAATCGTCAATCTTTGTTCCACGCTACGAAAGACTCCACGAAGTAGGCAACGGAAAAGGAGATAAAGCGAACAACGGAGAGGGAAGAACTCCGATTTGAGACAGCATAGCA